GGGGAGGGGTTTACCCCTCCCCCTACCCCCTCCCCCTGGGCCGGGAGAGGGCGCCCCGCGGGTGGTTGGAGGGGTCTTTTTCGACTCCTGGGAGGGCTAAAAAAACGACACCCCTCACGAGGATTCTGGCCCCGACGGGGGGAGGCAGAAAAATGCTCGCCTCTTCTTTGAATCGAAAATCATTGATTTTACTACGGTTTGGGCCCCATTTTGGCCTTCTGAGGGGGCAGCGCTAATTAAAGCTCCCCTCTTCTTTCAAGCCAAAATCATTGATTTTACTAATGTTTTGGCCCCATTTTGGCCTTCTGAGGGGGCAGCGCTAATTAAAGCTCCCCTCTTCTTTGATCGATTTCCTCCAAGATGGCCCTGAGAAGCGCCCAGGAGGCACCAAGAGGCCCCAAGATGGCCCCAATAGGCCCCCAGGAGGCCCCCAAGAGGATCCCAAACGGCCCAAAGAGGCCCCCCCGAGGCACCCAAGACGCCGAAAAGCCCATCAGGACGACCCTCTACTCGCCTGGGCGTCGTTTCTTGACGGGCAGGAGGAGGGGCCCGAACGACTCACACCAGGACGAGGGGCCCGAACAACTCACACCACGAGAAGCCCGAACGACTCACACCAGGACGAAGAGCCGGAACGACTCACACCACGAAGAGCCCGAACGACTCACACCAGGAAGAAGGGCCCGAACGACTCACACCAGGACGAGAAACCCCAAACGACTCAAATCACGAGGAGCGCTTTCTCTCCCTCTTCCTCCGCCTCGTCCTTCTCCCGCTCCCCCCACAAGGAGGATGTACAAGGAGGCGGGAGGAAGGAGGAACAGGGGAGATATGCGGGGGCAGGCGGAAACACGCCTGAAAAACACGACTGTCGGCATGCTTCGCTAGAGTTGCTGTTTTGAGATGGGCTGGTGGGGATACGCGAAGCGTGAAGAATAACAGGATACCCCATATTTTCATGTATTTTCTGGGTTTTTGTCTTCCCCCCCACTTCCCATGTTCTCCCATATTTTCCTAGGGATCGACAATTCATTGTGTCTGTGTGGTTTTTCCCCTCCTGAAGGTGGGTCGCGGGTTGGGGAAGAAGAGTGCGCGGTAAGGATGCACGGGCCTTGGAGGGCCATGCCGAGCCGCTTCGAGGGGGGCGCGGCGAGCGAAGCGAAAGCGGCCAAGGATGGGCCGACGGGGAAGGATGCAGGGGTAACCTTGGCAAGCCGCTCGTCCTTACCATGCGGGTGGACTGTGCTCCACACGTGCGGCCGGGTCAACCCCGACCGCCCGCGCCAGCGTCGCCGCCACGCCGACCGCGGCGCGAACCCGCCGCAGCTGCTGCGAAGCGGGTGCGCCTCTTCAGCGAGCTGGGCTGCGACTGCGATCCGTCCTTCGGGCACGGGCTCACATGGATTGGAGATCCGAGGATCTGGCATGAAGTCGGGCGTGTCCCCCTACAGGGGGATTTGCGACGAAAAATAAAATGTACTCAAAAAGTACTCCCAAATTGTCAAACAAGACTCAAAAACATAGTCCCCAGACTATTTTTCGACTATTTTTGAATCTTCCCCCTGTAGAGGGACAGGCCCGACTCAGATCTGGCGTGTCGGCGCCAGATCCGTGTGCCCTCCGAAATGTGGCGCCGGAGCTGCCTGATCCGGCGACGGAGCGAGCCGGTTCTCGATGGAAACGGGAGCCGCCGCTAATCCACGCGCCCGAGTCCGTGTCTGCTCGGGCCGGGGAAAAGGGGGGGGGGCAGCCACGGGGGGGTCTGAGAGTCAGCTCGCGTAGCTGATTCTCCCGGCGCCTCCCGGCGCCGGAGGCGGCATGTATCGAGGAATGGGCCCCTCGGTGGGGCCGAAGCCAGCTGCATGCCTCGGCGGTGGACAAAGCTCCCTTTAGTAAACCTCCCCTTAGTGAAAACGGCCTGGGACCGAGACCGACAGACCTGGACCCGCAAAAACGACGGCCGCGACGCGCCCTCGCGAACCGAAAACGGCAGATTCCTTAATCGACGTGTCAGGGTAGGAGGTCTGCAGTCGGGGCGTTGACCTAAGGAACCCTAAATGAGGAACGAGGCCCCCTTTTCCCAGAAGTTAAACTTCGATTCCCCATGGGAGACCCCAGGAAAACCCGCGGCAAACTGTGAGGCAATCGAGGAACACCGAGCCCCTCCCCCTCGAACAGGGCCCGCTCCTCGGCGCCCCGACGGCGCCCACCTCCCAGGCCCGACTTGGAGCCTGTTTTTTTTGGATTCAGGCAAGTTTACTTGCATGGCGTTCGCCCCCCCCCCCCTCGCCCCTCTTCAAGCGAATACTAGCGTGCAATGCCTTTCGACTTGCGTGATTTCCGCGCCCCCCCCCCGGGCTTGCTTCAGGCTCAGCCCCCCCCCCTTCCATGCAAGCAAACTTGCCAGAGCCTAACAAAAAAACAAGCTCTTGCGCGCCCTCGAGTCCTCCGGCGAGCCGAGCCAGGACAGCCTGGGGCTCGGGCCCCGGCGCCCCCCCGGGGGCGAGTCCGCCCCGGCCTCCCGCGGGGGCGCCTGCGGCGACTTGAGGGACGAGCGCCGCGGGGCGGCCGCCGAGGCTGGGGGCCCCTCCCGCGGCGCCGCGTCCTCCTGCGAGGCCTGCTCCAGGGGGAAGAAGGTCGGGCCGGACGAAAGGGGGGGGGATGGGAGAAGGGGGGGGGGCCCCGCCGAGGGCCCGCTCGTCATTTTCTGACGGAGCCCGCCCCCCCGGCGTCGGGACAATCAGCTGCGCGAGCTGTTCTCCCCCCCCCCCCGTTGCCGCCCCCCCCCCCCCCCTCTCCCCCGGCCCGCGCAGGGCGTGCGCCGCGAGGCCATTTTGCCCAGGGGCGAGGGGCATCTCCACATCCACGGCCTCTCCGCCTGGGCTCCGCGGCCGGGGCCCCGTGCCCGCGGGATCGCTCCGTCCCCGGGGTCGCGCCTCGGGGCTGCCCAGGCCGCGAGGGCGTGGGCACAGACATGCTCGTCGCTGGGGAAAACCGCAGCCGCGGGGCGGGGCGGTCTTCGCCCCGCGGGCCCCTGGAGCGCCAAAGACGGCTGCGGACGCAGTGCCGGCTGCACTCGGTGTCGAACGTGCAGGGCACCGTGGGGGGTCGGGGGCAGCTAATCACGGGCACTGCAGGGCACTGCGGGCGCCTGCGGGCACCGTGAGTACGGCTGGCGCTGCGGGGCAGAGCTCTGCGGGCACTACTACATTCCGTCATCGTTGTCGGACAGTGTGGGCTCTGCGAGCGCGCTGCGGGCATCCCGTGGGGCTCTACGGGACTTCGTAAGTATTTGCAGGACATTGCGAGCATTTGCGAACAATGTGGAATCCGTCACCGCGCTAGCGCGACAGCAGAGAACGCCGCTTCTTAATTATCTGAAAACGGTTCGTAGCGGGGGTCAGAAACAACGTCCCCCCAAACATTTTACCTGCCTGGACGCTTTTCGGCCTGCAGACGGCCTCAAGACTGCTAAAGCCCGCCCCTAAACGGCTACAACACGTCCCAAGACCGTCCGAAGACAGCCCAACAAACTCCCGAAGGCTCCAACATGCTCTCCCCGCGATGCCCCAAGACTTCTCCAAGAGACGCCCATAGATGGCTCCAGCGAGGCCCTAAGAGGCGACATCTAAGAATTGAAGGGAACTGCCAACCAATGCTTGCCGCCGAGGCTGCGATCGTCTTGGGAAGCCTCCAGGGAGCCCCAAGACCCACCCAGCACGTCCCAATAACGACGGGCCAGGAATGGCCCCAGACCGTGCCGAGACGGCCCCAAGACCCAGCCACACGTCCCCACGATTGTTCAACCGAGACTTCTCGGGAGAGCTCGGTCATCATATCATTGCGCCCAAGGCGGCCCTGAGATTCCCGACGGCCCCCAACGAGCACCCCGGAGGCCCCCTAAGAGGCCCCCGAGACGCCCCGAATGCAGCTCCATTTGGAAGGAAGACAGGGAGGGCAGGGCTGCGCACAAGGAGGGGGTGCTCAAGGTGAGCGTTTTTCTTATTCGGCGTTTCGACAGTGGGCGGAAAGGGGGGGAGGGGGGGGGGTCTGGCTCTGGACCTCTGCTTAGTGCGACTGTTTGCAGCGGTGCGGCCGATGGGTGAGGGACCCCACCTGCTCGAAACAGGCGCCCCAAACAGCCAAGATCTACTCCATAGGGGAAGGGAGGGAGGGAGGGGGGCGAGGGCCCGCACCGATCGGCAAAACAAGGAATAACAAAAACCACCACAAACTCCTCGACTGCTCAGGCAGGGCACTTCGCCGGAATGGTTCTGAAACTCACCCCGCCCTCCTGCTGCTCTGCTGCACTGGCGCGGCGGCGGGGGGCCGCAGGCGGCCGCAAACTGGGGCCACCACATGCCGAGCACGGACCATGTCGCAACAAAACGGGAGGGGTTTTTTGCAGTGCACCGCTGACGAGCAGGCTCCAAGGGCAACGAGTTGCCTGGGACTGGAGGCCAGGGCAAAAAAATAGGGGGAGGGGGTCACAACCCTCCCAGGCGAGCTCTTTCAGACCCCCCAGACCAGCCATGAGAGGGCGGCCTCTTGCCGAGACCCCCTCTGGACCCCCCCCAAAACAACTCCAATCGGGTTCCCCCAGGTCAGGCCACCCTCGTTTATGGCGGAATCCGGAGTGGGCACTCCGAACCATGCGAGGTGCAGTAACCAATTGTGGGGCGTTCAAGGTCTGTGACAGAAGTTGGAGGAGGAGGAGGAGGAGGAGGAGGAGGAGGAGGAGGAGGAGGAGGAGGAGGAGGAGGAGGAAGGGGACTGGCGTCTGTCTGTCAAGGCCTGTGATCACACTGGAACGCTGTGGGCGGTGTTGGCCGTGTGGGCGCACGTGTTCAACGCTGTGGGGCAATGTGCGAGATGCGGGTGATAGAACCACACCCATTGCGGGCGTGTTACAATCAACGCCCACCTGCGACCAACGTTCCTGACAACGTCTGCAGTTCGTGCCTGCCGCGTGCAAGCTGCCCAAGAGTACCTACCACAAAATGGCCACTGCTCCCACATGAACCAAGGTGCTCCCCAGTGCCCGCGGTGCACAGTGTACTCAAGGTACCCACATTGCAACCAGTGTCGCAGTCCCCACGCGGCCCACTGAAATTACATAATGCCCGCAATGCCCGACAAGCACGTGACGTGGCGCATGTTTGCTTGTGGTACCATACCTGCGCACCACCAATTGGATGGTGCACGCGCGGCCTGGTCCTCCGCATCCCCCTACACACCATCCTCACGACTCCTCATCGTCATGCGCAACCCTTCCCTCCACCTAGGCGAACACTGCGAAGGAGGAGGAGGAGGAAGAGTCTTTCCTCTGAGAGTCGGGGTCAGATGACAAAGGAATTAAGATCTCATGTTCACTCTGCTCAGGGAGAGAGGGGACGGGATGAGACATTGATAAGACAAGTATCCGCTAAGCAGAACTACTCTAACAGGAATGCGAAGGGAAGAGGCCGGCCGGCCTACGACCGACGACGCACGACGGCCGAGGGCTGGCGCGCTCCTTTTCTCTCCTGCAAGCCAAGGCTTGTTCGAGCAATCGCACAGCTGCGGAATGCAGCTGTTAGTTCCAGCGGTCTTAATTTAATATGAGGCGGAGAGGAGCTTATTTACTCCCCCCGCGGCGGGCCGCGTAGAGCCCATCCAGCCACGGCGCCCCCGGCCTGTACATGTGTACAACCACCGGAGCCAGCCCGAAAAAACCTTTTACAGCTCAGCGGTGGCTGCCAGGGGGCCAAGGGCTGAAGAGGCTCGACGTTTCCCACCATTGTGATGAATAAATTCTCTCCGCTGGGCCGGCTTAGCCGACCAGCAGAGGTGTCCGCATCCAACACGCGTTCCGCGCGTGGATAAAATTGTCTTGCATGCGCCTGCCGCGACTGAGTCACGCGGGCGAAACTCAGTTCAGGTCCTGCCGCGGGTTGGGCTCGTCCTCTTGCCTGGGCGGCGCCGGAGGCGGCGGATTTGACGACGCCGATCCTCCCGTCTGTATCTCCACGCCACGAGGCGTGCGAGACCGCCCTCTTTCCCTTTCAGTGTCGCTCATTGGTGCTGCCCCTCTTGGCTGGAAGCGGATGCCGTGCTCCCATGTTGATAGCTCGTGCCAGTAATTCAGAGTGTGCCACTCGGCGTCGGTAAGCCACGTGATCCTGTTCCGATGGACGTAGTACCCAGCGAGGGTTCCGTTCACGTAGCGCGGGTAGGACTTGGACGGGTCGTACTCGTAGCTGTTGTCCGCAGCACTGCCGGCAGCATCCGCGGCCGCACCTGCGGCAGCATCCATGGCCGCGCCGGCGACAGCATCCATGGCAGCGCCAGCGGCAGCGCCCATGGCCCCATCGCGCGTGCGTCGTGAATCCGACCGATCCCTCATGTTGGGATGTTGTGGGTATGTCTCCCTGGTCGTCACGGCTGAGCCGGCGACTGAACACGGGGATTCGGCGGCTTCTTCAGGTACCCGAGCGTCTGAGATGCCAGGTCGAAGAGGCGGAGGGCGCGATGAAGGTCTAGCCTTTGGTCCAGCCGGCGCATGTGGCCCCGCGATCTCGGCTTCGCCGTCGTGTTCAGGATCGTTATTCCTACGATCGCTCATGAATTGTATTATACTCCTGGCAGCAGTTGCTGCGGCGACACCATGCTTTCCGCGTGCAGTGCGGAAAGGTCCATAATATTTGTCCTGGAGTTCAGCACCAGGGTCAGAATATTTATCCTGAAGCCAAGAAATGGCTTCCTGTATTAGAGCACCGTGGCAACGGACATCATTATGTACTTTCCTCCCCATCTTGTGGGCCCACCTCTCTATTATGTCGTCCGTTTGAACAGCCGCACGTATGCGGCAATCCAAAGCAAACTCGTCGGTCCGTCTTTTCGAATCAATGTCTTCCGTGCTTACCATTTCGGGGCGAATGATTCGCCCCGGGTAACCGCGCGAACAATTGCGAAAATCCTCACGGGCAGAAGGCCCAGTTGCATGTGTTGTACTGGTGCCAACCAACTGTCACGTACTATGGTCTGGATGATCTCTGGGATCACGTATTCTGCCGTTCCGGTCAGGGTAACCCTGCCGGGGTTAGTAGGGTTTGTTCCTGTGTGTTCTACTATGTAATGGGCGGCAATTTCTCGAACTTCTCTCCCGAACAAATCTTATTTTGATCAAAGGATCGTCGCGGTGAAAGTATACGTGTCTCTCAGAATGGTCAAGAGTGATGAATCCATCAGTTATCAACGCGGCCTTAGGTCCGCTGATTGCTGTGAGATCCAAATCCATTTGCGACTGTTCGCGTGCCATCGCGGCTTCGCCGGTGGCATGTCGCAACACTGGGATAATAAGACGATGGTCCCGACACATGCTAACCCGTCTTGAAACAGACTGAGAACTGCGAGTCGGCCTCGCTCTAAAATTGTTCTCCCAGGCAACTGGTAACCTCGCAGGAAAATTGTTGTTGTCGGCGTTGTTCCGGTTATCCTCATCCAATGCGCCAAACCAAGGTCTGCCAAAATTTACCGCGTCATCTATTGTAGCAAGTGTCGGAACAAAGACGTTGGTTCTAGTCATGTTGGCGAACCATCTCTCCCAGCCGATCCGAGGAGTGACTAAGTCATCCTCTTCATCAGGCCAATGAAATGCCTCCAAGGCTGGGTAGGATCTCGGGCGATCGTATTGGTCAAACTTGGTTTCCCACAATCTCGGCCACCAGGTATTAATGGGCGGGGTTTGCCTACCTACGTTTCTGGCTGAATATTCAAGCCACGATATAAACCTTTCGACCAAAGGCTTCAAATATTGGGAGAAAGGAGCATGTCGCGCCGGAGGCTGAGCCTCGGCGTTCTGTGGGACCCAAGCTGGAAAATTGCCGGGCTGGCGATTGCCAAATATCGTGCCAGCGGCCGCCATTGTAGCAAATTGTCCGGAGGCCCATCTTCGCTCCTGCTGATTGTTGTTGCTGACGTTTTTCGTGACATTGACAGAAGCTCTCCCTTTCCTCTTTATACGCGCCTGTATATATTCATGGCGATTCCATGATAGACCTTCTTCATGCTCC